TAATATAATATATGTGTGTATAAATATATAAATATATATATATATATATATACATATATATATACATATATATATATATATATATATATATATATATACATACATAATATATATATATATATATATATATATATATATATATATATATATATATATATATATATATATATATATATATATATATATATATATAGACACACACACACAGCACACAAACACGCACACATATATATATAGTCAAGAAGCGACACACAATCTTACATATGTATCAACATGCACTCATTCCCAGACGCCAAGGCATAAGAAACCCGAAGAGCAAGACATGGCTGACGCTCCCCCCTGCACGGCTTCTCCGAAGGCGCTCGGTTTTCCCTGTGGACGTCGCAGTGCCAACGGCATCTCGCAAAGCATCACTGGTGTTCCTGGAAATCGGAAGAGTTCAGTGTCGCGCCAAAGGTAGCTGGCAACCGCAGCATCCCAGGCTGGAAAGCAAGTATAAATACTCACACGATCGAGTCTCGGCATCAGCTCTTGAGCGACGAGAACTGAGCATCATGAAGAACCATCAGTCTTTGGTAGGGGATCCAAGTTGAAATCTGAGAAAGTTTGCTTTCTCGTTCCATTGTCATTTTTTCTACGTTCTCCTTGCAGTTATTACATTTTAACTGTTCTATTCTAATCGTAAATTTAATAGGATAATGAATCCAATTCTCTAAGCAAGAAAAAAAGGGCAAAAATCTCTGACAATGACCATTTCGCAGATCGCCGCCGCGGCCGCGATGGCGCTGCTGTGCCTGGCCGTGGCCGACCCCGTCCCTTACGGCGGCGGAAGGAAGGGCCACGGCGGGTCAGGGTCAGGCTTTGGCAGTGGAGGAGTCGGGGGTGGAGGAAGAGGAGCTGGTGGATCAGGCTTTAGCAGTGGAGGAAGTGGATCTGGCGGGTCAGGCTTCGGTACTGGAGGAAGTGGCTCCGGTTCTAGTGGATCAGGCTTTGCAGTGAGGAAGTGGATCTGGCGGGTCAGGCTTCGGTATGTGGATCAGGCTTTGGAAGTGGATCTGGTTCTGCTGGATCAGGCTTTGGAAGTGGAGGACTGGGATCCAGCACTGGTGGATCAGCATTCGGGGGTGCTGGTAGTGGTTCTAGTGGATTAGGATCAGGTGTCAGCAGTGGAGGATTAGGTGGATCAGGATTGGGCGGCAGCGGAAGCGGTGCTGGACAAGGTTACAGCGGCAGTGGAGGAAGCGGCTCCTTTGGCAGTGGAGGAAGTCTTGGTGGAGGCAGTGGAAGCCTTGGAGGATCCGGTGGAAGCCTCGGTGGCGGCAGCACTTTTGGCTCGACTGGTGGACTGGGTGGCAGTGGAGGAGTTGGTGGCAGCAGTGGTGGCTTCGGAGGCAGCAGTGGAGTTGGTGGCAGCCATGGAAGTGGTGGAAGCCTTGGTGGTGGCAGCACTTTTGGTTCGACTGGTGGCTTCGGAGGCAGCAGTGGAGTTGGTGGCAGCAGTGGTGGCTTCGGAGGCAGCAGTGGAGTTGGTGGCAGCAGTGGTGGCTTCGGAGGCAGCTTGGTGGCAGCAGTGGTGGCTTCGGGCAGCAGTTGGTGGCAGCAGTGGTGGCTTCGGAGGCAGCAGTGGAGTTGGTGGCAGCAGTGGCAGCACCTTCGGCAGTGGCAGCGGCCTGGGTGGTTCAGCAGGCGGAAGGTAAGCTATACCTTTTATTTTTTCCATGGGTTTCTTTACGAGCAATGTGTGTTTTGATTTCTCTTTTCTCTAGTCTTTTAATCCCTGATTTTTAAATATACAGGATACGCCCCAGTCATTGGGAAATCGTTGTTCGTGAATGATAAAGTTTTTTTATTCATTAATTTCAATAGTTATTCATCTCTTGATTTATCTAATTATTCACCTTTGACGGCTCTCCCTTTCTCTTACAGCAAAGGCGGGAGCGGCCACCTCAGCACCAGTTACGGCCTACCTAATTAGTGCTTGAAACGGTGAACTGCCTGCACTGAGAAGGCTGTTGCTTCTCTGAGTATGTCGATGTACACTTTCGCATGTGTACATTTGTGAACAAGGCGTACAATGGACCGCCAACAATAAATTGTTAATACATCAATAATGACTTAATTTCTGAGGAACCCAATGATCTAGGAAAGAATTTGCAAAAAAAAAAGTATAGAAAAGTATATATATATATATATATATATATATATATATATATATATAATATATATTTATGCCTCGTTTTTGTGAAATACAAAAACAATGTCTATTTTTTTCTATTTTTTTATTAAAAAAAAAAAAAAAAAAAATTGAATACAAACTATCCACTCATGAGAAACTATAAAAATATCTATTGCTTGTAATGGGAAGTCTGTGTAATTATATAAAAACCTACATCTTTTTTGTTTCGTTGAACAAAAAATATGTCAGGTATTGTATTTACTGTGTAATAAAAGAATACACGTTTTTTGATTTTTTCTTTAATTAGGGACGTGTATTGATGAA